TATACACCTGAACATCAGCAGGAGAGGACTCTTTAAAGTAGAGACAGCTACATACTGATATACACCTGAACATCAGCAGGAGAAGGACTCTTTAAAGTAGAGACACTACATACTGATATACCCGGAACATCAGCAGGAGAGGACTCTTTAAAGTAGAGACACTACATACTGATATACCGGAACATCAGCAGGAGAGAACTCTTTAAAGTAGAGACACTACATACTGATATACACCTGAACATCAGCAGGAGAGGACTCTTTAAAGTAGAGACACTACATACTGATATACACCTGAACATCAGCAGGAGAGGACTCTTTAAAGTAGAGACACTACATACTGATATACACCTGAACATCAGCAGGAGAGGACTCTTTAAAGTAGAGACACTACATACTGATATACACCTGAACATCAGCAGGAGAGGACTCTTTAAATTAGACACACTACGTACTGATATACACCTGAACATCAGCAGGAGAAGGACTCTTTAAAGTAGAGACACTACATACTGATATACACCTGCACATCAGCAGGAGAGAACTCTTTAAAGTAGAGACACTACATACTGATATACACCTGAACCTCAGCAAGAGAGGACTCTTTAAAGTAGAGACACTACATACTGATATAAACTTGAACATCAGCAGGAGAGGACTCTTTAAAGTAGAGACACTACATACTGATATACACCTGAACATCAGCAGGAGAGGACTCTTTAAAGTAGAGACACTACATACTGATATACACCTGAACATCAGCAGGAGAGGACTCTTTAAAGTAGAGACACTACATACTGATATACACCTGAACATCAAGCAGGAGAGGACTCTTTAAAGTAGAGACGCTACATACTGATATACACCTGAACATCAGCAGGAGAGGACTCTTTAAAGTAGAGACAACTACATACTGATATACACCTGAACATCAGCAGGAGAGGAGTCTTTTTAAAGTAGAGACACTACATACTGATATACACCTGAACATCAGCATGAGAGGACTCTTTAAAGTAGAGACACTACATACTGATATACACCTGAACATCAGCAGGAGAGGACTCTTTAAAGTAGAGACACTACACCTGAACATCAGCAGGAGAGGACTCTTTAAAGTAGAGACACTACATAGTGATATACACCTGGACATCAGCTGGAGAGGACTCTTAAAGTAGAGACACTACATACTGATATACACATGAACATCAGCAGGAGAGGACTCTTTAAAGTAGAGACACTACATACTGATATACACCTGGGCATCAGCAGGAGAGGACTCTTTAAATAGAGACCTGCATACTGATATACACCTGAACCTCAGCAGGAGAGGAACTCTTTAAAATAGAGGCGCTACATACTGATATACACCTGAACATCAGCAGGAGAGGACTCTTTAAAGTAGAGACGCTACATACTGATATACACCTGAACATCAGCAGGAGAGGACTCTTTAAAGTAGAGACGCTATATACTGATATACACCTGAACATCAGCAGGAGAGGACTCTTTAAAGTAGAGACGCTACATACTGATATACACCTGAACATTAGCAGGAGAGGACTCTTTAAAGTAGAGACACTACATACTGATATATACCTGAACATCAGCAGGAGAGGACTCTTTAAAGTAGAGACACTACATACTGATATACACCTGAACTCAGCATGAGAGGACTCTTAAAGTAGAGACACTACATACTGATATACACCTGAACATCAGCAGGAGAGGACTCTTTAAAGTAGAGACACTACACCTGAACATCAGCAGGAGAGGACTCTTTAAAGTAGAGACACTACATAGTGATATACACCTGGACATCAGCTGGAGAGGACTCTTTAAAGTAGAGACACTACATACTGATATACACATGAACATCAGCAGGAGAGGACTCTTTAAAGTAGAGACACTACATACTGATATACACCTGGGCATCAGCAGGAGAGGACTCTTTAAAATAGAGACACTGCATACTGATATACACCTGAACCTCAGCAGGAGAGGACTCTTTAAAATAGAGGCGCTACATACTGATATACACCTGAACATCAGCAGGAGAGGACTCTTTAAAGTAGAGACGCTACATACTGATATACACCTGAACATCAGCAGGAGAGGACTCTTTAAAGTAGAGACGCTACATACTGATATACACCTGAACATCAGCAGGAGAGGACTCTTTAAAGTAGAGACGCTACATACTGATATACACCTGAACATCAGCAGGAGAGGACTCTTTAAAGTAGAGACGCTACATACTGATATACACCTGAACATCAGCAGGCGAGGACTCTTTAAAGTAGAGACGCTACATACTGATATACACCTGAACATCAGCAGGAGAGGACTCTTTAAAGTAGAGACGCTACATACTGATATACACCTGAACATCAGCAGGAGAAGACTCTTTAAAGTAGAGACACTACATACTGATATACCGGAACATCAGCAGGAGAGGACTCTTTAAAGTAGAGACACTACATACTGATATACCGGAACATCAGCAGGAGCGAACTCTTTAAAGTAGAGACACTACATACTGATATACACCTGAACATCAGCAGGAGAGGACTCCTTAAAGTAGAGACACTACATACTGATATACACCTGAACATCAGCAGGAGAGGACTCTTTAAAGTAGAGACACTACATACTGATATACACCTGAACATCAGCAGGAGAGGACTCTTTAAAGTAGAGACACTACACCTGAACATCAGCAGGAGAGGACTCTTTAAAGTAGAGACACTACATAGTGATATACACCTGGACATCAGCTGGAGAGGACTCTTTAAAGTAGAGACACTACATACTGATATACACATGAACATCAGCAGGAGAGGACTCTTTAAAGTAGAGACAATACATACTGATATACACCTGGGCATCAGCAGGAGAGGACTCTTTAAAATAGAGACACTGCATACTGATATACACCTGAACCTCAGCAGGAGAGGACTCTTTAAAATAGAGGCGCTACATACTGATATACACCTGAACATCAGCAGGAGAGGACTCTTAAGTAGAGACGCTACAATACTGATATACACCTGAACATCAGCAGGAGAGGACTCTTTAAAGTGAGACGCTACATACTGATATACACCTGAACATCAGCAGGAGAGGACTCTTTAAAGTAGAGACGCTACATACTGATATACACCTGAACATCAGCAGGAGAGGACTCTTTAAAGTAGAGACGCTACATACTGATATACACCTGAACATCAGCAGGAGAGGACTCTTTAAAGTAGAGACGCTACATACTGATATACACCTGAACATCAGCAGGAGAGGACTCTTTAAAGTAGAGACGCTACATACTGATATACACCTGAACATCAGCAGGAGAAGACTCTTTAAAGTAGAGACACTACATACTGATATACCGGAACATCAGCAGGAGAGGACTCTTTAAAGTAGAGACACTACATACTGATATACCGGAACATCAGCAGGAGCGAACTCTTTAAAGTAGAGACACTACATACTGATATACACCTGAACATCAGCAGGAGAGGACTCTTTAAAGTAGAGACACTACATACTGATATACACCTGAACATCAGCAGGAGAGGACTCTTTAAAAGTAGAGACACTACATACTGATATACACCTGAACATCAGCAGGAGAGGGACTCTTTAAAGTAGAGACACTACATACTGATATACACCTGAACATCAGCAGGAGAGGACTCTTTAAATTAGACACACTACGTACTGATATACACCTGAACATCAGCAGGAGAAGACTCTTTAAAGTAGAGACACTACATACTGATATACACCTGAACATCAGCAGGAGAGAACTCTTTAAAGTAGAGACACTACATACTGATATACACCTGAACCTCAGCAGGAGAGGACTCTTTAAAGTAGAGACACTACATACTGATATAAACTTGAACATCAGCAGGAGAGGACTCTTTAAAGTAGAGACACTACATAGGATATACACCTGAACATCAGCAGGAGAGGACTCTTTAAAGTAGAGACACTACATACTGATATACACCTGAACATCAGCAGGAGAGGACTCTTTAAGTAGAAACACTACATACTGATATACACCTGAACATCAGCAGGAGAGGACTCTTTAAAGTAGAGACACTACATACTGATATACACCTGAACATCATTAGGAGAGGACTCTTTAAAGTAGAGACCTACCATACTGATATACACCTGAACATCAGCAGGAGAGGACTCTTTAAAGTAGAGACACTACATACTGATATACACTGAACATCAGCAGGAGAGGACTCTTTAAAGTAGAGACACTACATTCTGATATACACCTGAACATCAGCAGGAGAGGACTCTTTAAAGTAGAGACACTACACCTGAACTCAGCAGGAGAGACTCTTTAAAGTAGAGACACACATAGTGATTACACTGGACAGTCAGCTGGAGAGGACTCCTTTAAAGTAGAGACACTACATACTGATATACACCTGAACATCAGCAGGAGAGGACTCTTTAAAGTAGAGACACTACATACTGATATACACCTGAACATCAGCAGGAGAGGACTCTTTAAAGTAGAGACACTACATACTGATATACACCTGAACATCAGCAGGAGAGGGCCCCTTCGATCTGTACCTAACAAATATGTTTTGTTAAGTTCGTTGAATATGATTTCTAGGCCTGGATCTCAACAATACTTTATATAGAACAGTATTTTAATACTGCAATGTTATACTTCCTACAGCAGTGTATGTTGTTTGTCACCATGTTAAACAGGAAGTACAGCTGCTGTGATGCGATACAAAAACAAATAAACGTAAACTTTTAAACATTGTTTTTTTTCAAGATTCAAGGCTTTTATTGTCATTCGTACATGGCTACAGTGTGGTGATGTCGATGGAAATCTTAGGTCCCAGGCTCTTCCAACAGTGCAACACAATAAAACTGATAAAATAGTGAAAGTAAATACAATAAAATATAGAAGTAATGCAAGGAGAGTCTATATACAAGTGATAAATAATGTGTGCAGGACTCACCTGATCAGGGGCAGTGATCTCGAACAGGTCCAGTCTGTTGTTGTTCCACTGCCGGATCACTCGGGATAGTTTCTCTCGCTGTTCCTCCTCTGGCATTTTCCCAAATTATCCTCAAAGACTTTACCTCGCTGAGATCCTCCAGAGAAACTCTGAGACTGACAGGGAAAGTCTCTCTGGGTGTTGATGTATTGTTTGGGAGGACCCCACCCCTCCGTCAGTGATAAACACCCCCTTTCCGAGCCTCATTAACGGGTCAGTGGTTCCTCGTTATGTGAGGCAAACAGTTTCTAATCATAATCCCCTCCCTTCTTTATAATCCCCGGCAATTTAATCTGACACTTTCTTTTTCCTCTTTAATCAGATATTTTACAGCAGGAAGAGTTTGTTTGTATTTCTAAGCTGATATGTGACCTTTAAAATTAGTGGACAATTATTAAGACTTTTTAGGAACGAAAACAGTGAGAATTCTATTATTACAGTTTCTTATATCTGAATATTTTCTTGTTGTTTGGCTCTTTTTTTACGACACTGAACCAGCAGTAAATGACTCTTTACAGATGCAGAATATTAGCTTATACACAATATATATCAATTTATAAATTAACTGCAATATAAAAGATATCCAGCAGCATTAATGCATCTAAAATCTAAAATGTGATTTTGAAATGAGCTAATACGCACAATAAGTATTTCACTTAGTTATTTTAAGTTCATTTGATGCCAATACTTATACACTTTAACTTCAATATAATTTGAAATGAAGGACTTGTACTACTTTAAGTAAAAACACTAAGTAATAGGGCTGGACTAATTGCATTTAGTTTGACTGATATGATTTGCAATGTGAGGTAATCTGGGCCAAAATGTTTCTTTATTTAGTTTGTATAATTACATCTGCAGCTCTACTTCACATATTTACACATATTTTTGCCATATTATGCAATTTGTAGTCCATTTAGCAATATCTTTAAAATGATCATTAAGCGTGCAGCCCTGCTGAATAATTCTGCCACCACTGTTACATTTCTGTTTTGGGTAAAAAAAGGTTTAAACAGATGAATTGACAGTGAAAGCACTTGTTGTTTTGAATGTTTAAACAGTGCTCTAGACGTCATCATGAGGACTGCAGATGGAAATTAGCTATTAGCTCAAATCTGGCATAATTCATCTCTTCTCTTTTCTGAGATTCATGTATTTGTATGCATGGTCCTTGCTGAAATAAATACATAATAACCCGGATGTTTCCGCCTGAGAGGATCTATGTTTCTCATGCTCAGCCTCAGTGAATCCAGTCCATGTTCCATGTCTCCCATTCAGCTTCACCACATTATGTAGGTCAGCTTTTGTTGGTGCTGTGAAGCTTTCTGGGTAAACATACAATAGAAACAAAAGCTCTAACAAAACTTACCCTTAATTATATTCACAGTTTAACTTTTAAAAGATAACTGAACAATCATGGTTATTGTTGTCTGGTTGTTGGGAAATGCAGAGAAGATGCACTTCAGTACAAGAAAATGTGTGATACTGCATCAATTATCTAATTAAAACACAAACCTACAGCACATCTGCATTATTCTTTGTATTCATGTATTTCATATATTTGTAATCTTGCAATTTTTTGTATTAAAGGGGCCCTACTCTGCTTATTTTCAGGTTAGTATTAAGTGGCTCTACGGGACATGTTAGCTCAATGTTGAAAAAGCTCCAAACCAGGGCCCAGTTTGCTCTGATTGGTTAGCTGGCCGGCTCTGTTGTGATTGGTCAACCGCTTAAAAGATGTCCCACCCCTTAGCCAATCAGTACAATGTGTTGGAGCACTTTAGGAGGAAAGTAAATACTAATCATTGATCAAAATGTTGACATTGACACAAAATAAACACAAATAAATCAAAATAAAAAAAGCATCAAGTTGCATTGGGTTGAAGCCTTTGATTGCCCTCCATGCAAGCGTGCAGTCAGCAAAGTTACAAACAAAAATTGCACAAGAGTATTTGTTATTATATCATCTTTTTATTAATGTTATCTACTTTTCAATATCATCTTTTTTAACAGCTATATCCACAAAATATTAACAGTGTGCAAGAAAACATGAGTTATGGCACATCAGAGAACAGTTACAAAAAATAGATATATTTTCTTCATAATCAATCAAGGCAAAAGATACATATACTGTATGCATACACAGGAGATCAGAACACAAAGGACGAGTCTCGGGAACGGCTCAGGGCGGATTCAGCCATGTTTGATTTCGTAGTCAGCCGGTGAGGAGCCTCAACTCTCGCCTGCTTTGAGTCACAACACCAGGGGATTTCCATCTCAAGCTTCATGTTCTACTTTAACACTGTTCATTCTGTCGACCTGACAACCCCAAGACCAGCATCAACACAATATACGCCACTATAAGGCAAACCAACCAATCAGAGAAGCCGTCAGCCAAACCAGCAATTTAGGTCGTCTGTCTCTCTGATTTTAAGCTCAACCAGCCATGGAATGACTGAAATGACAATAATGGTAAAAAATAGAATCTGTCAGACATATCCAGAACAACATCAGTGTGTGTATGTGTGTGAGCTGATATGTGTGCATGCTTGTTTCATGTTGTGTGATTCTCGTGCAGTTGTAATTTGAAATGCATTTTTCAAAGAAATGACTGCCTCTGATTTCCTCGACAAGAAATTGCCCAATTTTGAAGTATATATTTCTGGGGAAGAACACAGATTTCTGCATTACTTCCTGTGTGTCACTGCAGTCAAGTTTCTGTTTGTATAGTTATTATATTTCGAACAACTCTACAATTAACTCTAGATAAAGGGACATATCTAATGTAAAGGTATGGTTTAACCTCTTGGGAAATACCATTAATGGATTTATTGCAGGGAGGTTTAGAGAAGATGTTTACCACTTCATTATCTGTTTGCTCAAATTGAATGACAGCCAGAAGCTGGTTATCTTAGCTTAACACAGCTTTAATTGAATACTCGATTCTGATTGGTCAATTTGGACATATCAATCCAATGACAGAATTTCCGCCAATGTAACGTCAGCGGTGAAATCAGACAGAAAGATCCCCAGACAGACAGTAAGTCAACACTTGCCCATAAAGCAAGCCTACCACTATTTTCTTTGAACCCTGCTCAAATGAAAAAAGAAAGGGTATAACTCTGGATATCCAATGGCGTCACACACAAAATCCTGAAGTTGTATTTCAACACTTTGTCAAATTGGCTTCAATGTCCTGGATTTGCTCTTACACTTAAGCTAAACTAACTTGCTGCCAGCTTAACTTTATACAGAGAAACATTGGGGTTGCTTTAATGGCTTTGATGAGCGGGGAAAACAAGCTGAACACATTTTTTGATTTTCTGGGTTGTTTTTGGTCATTATTGGTCATCACATTAAAAATAGCTTCCCATTATTGTATATTCCTACAAGGCCCTTCTTTCCTCTTCTTAAAGATGAGCACAGTAGCATCTGAGTGAGAGGAGGCCGTACATCAGGGGTGTCAAACTCAAGGCCCGGGGGCCAAATCCGGCCCGCGACTTCATTTAATGTGGCCCCACAAGAGCTTGCAAAGAATATAATATGTTTGTAATACGGTTACATGGCGATTTACAGAAGCACGTTGCCCATAAACTACATGTCCCACAATGCATCTCAAATTTGACTTTTTCTCAGATTTGAATTTTTTTCTTCTAAATATGTATTTTTTCCTCAGAATTGACTTTTTTTTTTAAAAATGTCTTTTAAAATCGTGTTGTGACGTTCTCACTGAAGAGAATTGCAATTATTTGCCCTAGACTTCTGCTTTCAGACGTAGTTAAATATGAAGTTATTACCCTATCCGATAATAATTCAATGCAGAGGCAATAATGTAATATAATACATTAGTTTATATATATATTAAATATTTATGTATTTTTATATAGTCTTAAAGTTACAACCGGCCCTTTGAGTGCAACCATAATGCGAATGTGGCCGTGATGAAATTGAGTTTGACACCCCTGCCGTACATGTTGCACAACGTGTCCTCTGCTCAGGTCAGACTCATCCTGACCTGCCATTGGAGGGCTGAGTGATAGTAACATCATTATGTGGAGATACTGTGCCTTCTTACACACTGTGTGTCTCTCAAAAACACACACTGAAATGCACATACATGCTATTCCTTTAAAGACACATTCAAAGATTTGTCAAGGGTACCTCATAATCATTTAATTCCGTCGCAAACATGCCCAAAAGTTGCCCCCTGCCTGCTTTGTCTCTGTGCACACTGCTCAACAGTTCGCACCGCTTCTAATAGAAACTCAGCAGGAGGCTCATGATCAAATAGCCTAACAGAAAAAAGCAGTCGATTCAACTCCCCTGAGATTCATCAGCAGTCGTAAGTCTTGTACGTTACAGCTGACAAAAGCCTCGGCTAAATGCTCCAATGTAAATATGATTGCACACATCTTTTCAGGGATCAAGCATCAAAAGCAGCACGTGTCATTTAGTGCTCCTTTAAGCTTTGACTTCGGGCAATCAAACCTAAAACAACAACAGCAAGAGAGTGTGTTATGCGAATGAGTGTGTGTTGTCCTAAATGCAGACCATAACCAACACTTGAGAACAGCATTGCTGCTCCGGTGTTAAAGGAGGTTGGTTTTTGCCACCGTGAAGAGGTCGTTGGTTCAGGACACGATAATAAACCTAACAGTTGTTTTGTTTCTATCAGATGTTTTGTTTTTGTATCTATGGTTTAAACCAGTGGTTCTCAAATGGGGGTACGCGGATCCCTAGGGGTACGTTGGAGTACTGCAGGGGGTACGTGATATTTATTTTATGATAATGAAAAAAAAGATAAGATAAATATACCAATTTTAGGAAAAGTAACGAAGTTTGAGCAGTGTGGGTTTTATATTAATAGACTAGAGTTACACATATTTCAAAACACGAAGTGTAATAACTGCAGTTTGCCTCCCTGTCAGAATGACAACGATCCTCAGTGAAGCACAAGCCCATGTTTCACTACATTGTAAGTACAACTTATTAAAAAGATCAGTTCAATGCAACTAATGTCGTCTCAGTGTTATTGCATGATGTTAAAATTGGTTTGCCATGAATTTAGTGATGGATTGTAAACATTTGAAATGTAGCATTTAAGTGTTTCTCAGTTACAAGGTTGTTGTTTTAATAAATCAGACACTGATGGTGCAG